AGGTCCATGAAGCTGCAAGGATCATGCATGCCCAAGTCCCAGAGGCAGGCTCCAGCGGCCCCAGACAGGCAGAGACACACGCCTAGGCCTAAAGGCTTATAGGTCAAGTTGCACCAAGGGTGCAGTTAAGACCTCAAATCCCTCTCCAAAGTCAGGGGCTTAGAGCTTGCCAGAAATTTCAAGTAGGTATGTATTCAAGCCTCAGATTTTTTATTTTGTTAATTTCCTCTGGTTACTCATAGACAGCTCTAGCCTAAAGGGTTGGAGCAAAACTTAGCTTCCGTGGATACTTCGGAGAGAAATCCACAAGTCTGGGATTCCCACCGTCAAAGAAAATGAGCGCTTTCTTCTAATCATGTCTTCCCCCAGAGGGCTAGGATGCAGTCTAGAAGCATCTACTGAGCCCCTTCTTGAAGCTGCTTGTTTCTACTCTAGGCATCCTGAGGGCAGAGACTGGGCTTCTTTGTCTTTGTCCCCAAAGGCAAGCCTCCACTGTTGTTAAATGTTTGTGGAAGGAGCCTGAATTTGGATAAGGAGCAGAATTACAAAGGGACCACACCTGGAGGTGTACTTAATTGATATGGACGATAATTGGGAAAGCCAAAGCTAAAAGCTCACAAAAAGGAAAACAGATTACTAACAGCTAGTCCTAAGAAAACCAAACAAACAAACAAAAAATGGCCAGGCCTGGTGGCTCACGCCTGTAATCCCAGCACTTTGGGAGGCCGAGGCGGGTGGATCACGAGGTCAGGAGATCGAGACCATCGTGGCTAACACGGTGAAACCCCGTCTCTACTAAAAATACAAAAAAATTAGCCGGGCATGGTGGCAGGTGCCTGTAGTCCCAGCTACTCGGGAGGCTGAGGCAGGAGAATGGCGTGAACCCGGGAGGCAGAGTTTGCAGTGAGCCAAGAGATTGCGCCACTGCACTCCAGCCTGGGCAACAGAGCGAGACTCCATCTCAAAAAAAAAAAAAAAGAAAAAGAAAAAAGAAAGAAAACCAAAATAATGTATTTAAAATGGAAGGAAAGGCCGGGCGCGGTGGCTCAAGCCTGTAATCCCAGCACTTTGGGAGGCTGAGACGGGTGGATCACGAGGTCAGGAGATCGAGACCATCCTGGCTAACACGGTGAAACCCTGTCTCTACTAAAAAAATACAAAAAACTAGCCAGGCGAGGTGGCGGGTGCCTGTAGTCCCAGCTACTCGGGAGGCCGAGGCAGGAGATGCCGTAAACCCGGGAGGCGGAGCTTGCAGTGAGCCGAGATCCAGCCACTGCACTCCAGCCTGGGCCACAGAGTGAGACTCCGTCTCAAAAAAAAAAAAAAAAAAAATGGAAGGAAAGAGATGGGGAGAGGGAGATGTCTCTGAGAAAATAAGAAACGTTTTTTTGTTTTTGTGTTTAACTTAAACTGTGATTTCAGAAGAAACAGTTCCTGGAATGCCAGCAACCAGGGAGAACTTCCACCCGGAAGCAGTGTGGTAGAAGGGGACCTGCTGAGAGCCTGCATATGCCCAGCAAATGGCCAGGTGCCTTTGTTTGTTTGTTTGTTTGTTTGTTTGTTTTTTGAGACAGGGTCTCCCTCTGTCGCCCAGGCTAGAGTGCAATGGCATGATCTTGGCTTACTGTAGCCTCAACCTCCAGGCTCAAGTGGATTCTGTCACCTTAGCCTCCTGAATAGCTGGGACTACAGGCATGCACCACCACACCTGGCTGATTTTTGTATATTTTTGTAGAGATGGGGTTTCACCATGTTGCCCAGGTTTCTCTTGAACTCCTGGGCTCAAGCGATCCTCTGGCCTCAGCCTCCCAAAGCAGTGGGATTACAGGTATGAGCCACTGCACCCAACCTAGGTGATCTCTTTTAATATTCACCCCAATAAGGGAAGGTAAAGATTGCTGCTCTCACTTTACAGATGGGGAAGCTGGTGGATAACTTGTCAGCTCATAAATGGCAGAGCTAGAATTCCAAACCAGAGGTATCTCCAAGCCTCTCTCTAGCCAGCCTCGCCCACAGTCCTGTTGCAGCTCCTACTTCTTTTGAGGACAACTTTGGTTCCAGGTCATGATGACAGCAATCAACTCGACTCTGGTTGCTTTCTAGTCATAAAGCGCTTTCAGGCCTGATATCTCATTCCTCTTTACACCCTCCAGACGAGGTTAGTAAAGGGGTCCTGCGCTCTTTTGACACATAAGGAGAGCCAGGCTAGCCAAGGGTCAGAGGTGGGAATCAGTGACTTCCCCACGTGAAAGAGAATAGAATCTAGGGACCCCAGATTCACTGTGTCAAAGGGAAAGTTTAATCCCAGCATTTTCGGAGGTTGAGGTGGGTGGATTGCTTGAGCTCAGGAGTTTGAGACCAGCCTGGGCAACATGACGAAACCCTATCTCTACAAAAAGAAAAGTACAAAATATGTAGCTGGGTGTGGTGGCACACGCCTGTAGTCTCAGCTACTCAGGAAGGTGAGGTGGGAGGATCGCTTGAGCCCAGGAGGTCAAGGCTATAGTGAGCTATGATTGTAGCACTGCACTCCAGCCTGGGCGACAGAGCGAGACCCTGTCTCCAAAAAAAAAAAAAAAAAAAAAAAAAAACAAAAAAAACCAAGAAGGAGGTGGGGAAGTTAAGTTAAGCTTGGAAACCACAAAAACTGCTTTCCTTTTGTTTCCAGACAGCTGCAGTTTCACAAACCTGTGTCATAGCCTAATTTCCTTTGCTCCTTATAGACATACTGAGCAGGAGACAATGCATCATTGACTTTTTCTTCTATTCCTTTTCATATAAAATGTAGATTTACAGATGCTAAATCAGAGTTTCACGTGCTTGTAACCTCAATGTCTTTCCTCCCTCCCTCTTCTTTTCCTTTCCTGTTTGCTTTTTCTCTTTTAAATATGGAAATTCCCGAAACCCTTTTTGGAAAAAAGGTGATTTTTCCCAGGTGGATCCTCAACCTTGGCTAACTAAATCTCTGTTTGATTGAGACCTGCTTTAGTCACTTTTTGGTTTACACCCATGATAACCCCGCCAGGGTTCGAATCCACATTGTGTCTGCCTCCCAAGTGGCTCCGAACCCTACCTTTCCTCCAGATGTCCAGTTCAGAATTTGATTTTCCTTTCTTTTTTCTTTTTTTCTTTTTAGAGATGGAGTCTCCCTCTGTCACCCAGGCTAGAGTGCAATAGCACAATCTCGGCTCACTGTAACCTCCGCCTCCCGGGTTCAAGCGATTCTCCTGCTTCAGCCTCCCGAGTAGCTGGGATTACAGGCGTCCACCACCACGCCCTGCTAATTTTTGTATTTTTAGTAGAGATAGGGTTTCACCATGTTGGCCAGGCTGGTCTCAAACTCCCGACCTCAAGTGATCCACTTGCCTTGGCCTCCCAAAATGCTAGGATTACAGGCATGAGCCACTGTGTCCAGCCCAGAATTTAATTTTCACAGCAGGATGGAGTGGTCAGACCATCAGATCTCAAAAGCTGGTTGCTGTCGCACTGCAGAGGGAAACGGAAATGTGCAGTCCCCAGAAAGCAGAATGTCCCTGAGGGCTTAGTGACCTTGAAGCCGTAGGGAAAGTCTGGGGCCTCCACCCTCACTTCCTTTAAAAACCGAGGTTGGGGTTTAGAGGCAAGGGAACTTTTCACTTTGCACCTTGTCCACTTTCTTTTAGTTGACTACTTCGCAGCTGGCATTGTACCTTGATAATGATCATTTCAACTGAAACTATTCCTCTAAAAAGAATGGAGTCCAAGGCCTGGGAGTTGGATTCAGGCTCTGGGACTCAGGAGTTGATCTCCTTGACGTTCACCTGGAGCAAATTTAGCCTCAGCTGATACTTAGGAGGCAAAGGCACAGACTTGGGGATGCGGGGAGCTCAAGGGCTGTCACCCTGTAGAAACCCTTCTGACGCCCAGTTCAGGCCTGGCCTCGGGGCTGGCCGGCTCCTCCTTGCTCCCTCGTTTCCAGCGAGAGTCTGGGATGGCACCCACAAAGCTGGTGGCGTCAGCCCTCCTGCCCCCAACTCCCAACAGTACTGGAGCCAGGTGGTTAGCAGGTCCGGGAGGGAGCAAGAACGAGGGACGCCACCTGGGCTGGAGTTCTTGGTTTCCTGTCCTGGCTCGAATGGGGAAGAGCCTTAAGAGAGCCTCGCGCCAGGCCCCCGGAGGGAGCCGCGCCCCTGGCCCTGGGGGCCCCTGTGGGGGTTCGCGGCCGGAGCGCAGGCTGGGCCGGGGTGTCTCCCGGAAGCCGGGCTGGCCCAGGCTGCCCCATATGGAGTTGGGAAAGTCTCAGGCTTTCGGTTTGAACCTAGGAGGCCGAGCAGCCGGGCAGAGGTTCCCGACGGCCATTGGCTGCGGCGGCGCCGTGACATCAGCGCGGAGGGGTGCTCGGGGAGGGCGCGGGCGGAGCCTGGAAGGGGAGTGTCCTGGCGGCTCCCAGCCCTGAAAGCCCGAGAGCCAGAGGGAAACAAACGCCGGCGCTGACAGGGGCCGCTACCCCCGCCGCCGCGCGGAGCCCACAGAGGAGACAGCGCAGCTGGGTCGGCGCTCGGGTCCCCGGGGACCGAGGTAGGCGACGGGTACCCGCCTCTGGCTGTGGTAGCCGCCTTCGCGCTGGGTGCTCAGGGTGGGCTTGGGGGGGCTCGAGCCCCCCTGTGGGGCAGAGAGGATCCAAGCTAGGGATGCGAGGCCGCGGCGCGGGGAGAGGGGCGCGGAGTCCCCACTTCTCGGCGCTCGCGCTTCTCTCCGCACCCGCCGCGGTGACTGGGACCCGGAGACGCGCACCCAGTGTCCTGGCAGAGCGGGATGTGCGGAGGAGGGGGTGGCAGGGAGCCGGGCGCAGCGTCGCCGGGACTCGATTTCCTTTCTACGCTGGAACTCTTGGGCTTGGCCGAGGGCGCCGCTGGGCGGGTTGGGGGCTGGTTTTAAAGGGCCTCCCCCTTCCCAGGAATGGGGTGTGTGTCGGTGTGGGCAGGAGGGCAGCAATCGGCGGCGCGCGGCCCGCGATCTCCGCGAGGGGGGCGTGTGTGCGCCCGGAGTTCTCCATGAATAAGAACCGAATTCTCCGCCTGAGCAGAGGCGTGTACACATCTCGCTCTCGTACACACACTGCAGCACACGCCACCCAGTGTCACGCGGCCGGGGAGCCAGCGGGAAGGAGCTGTCTGGAAGGGAATGGCCAAAGGAACAAATGCTTCCCCGTTCCCCCACTCCCGCCCCGCGAACCCTTCCCTTCCCCGCCAGGATCCCGCCCCGCCCGCTCCCTCGGAAGCCCGGGAGGTCGAGGCGCCTCCCGGCGGGGTGCAGGGGGAGAGCAGTCGAGCCGCCTGTCCCTTTGGAGCCCGAGAGGCTGCTGCGCACGGGGCCGGTGCACCCAGAGCTCAGCGCGCTCCGCGGGGTCGCTGGCGGGAGCGGTTGGTTAATGATTTAATCGCCCGCTTGGGGCGGGTGCGCGCGGAACGGCCGTCCCTGGCCCCGCCCCCTCCCCGGAGCGCCCCCAGCCGGGGTTACAAAACTGCCCCCTCCCTCCGGCACGTCCCCTAGGAGCCGTCCTGCCCGCGGGGATCCGGTCAGTCGGTGAGTGCCCCGGCCAGGAGGGCTGGAGAGCTGGGCGGGAGCCGGGGCTGAGGCTGAGCCGGCTTCCTGGGAGAGGACTGAAGTGCGTGTGTGTGTGTGTGTGTGTGTGTGAGCGCAAGAGAGAGAGCGAGCGAGCGAGAGGGACTGGGGGAGGGGTGCTCTCTGCTAACTCAAACCAGGTTGCCTGTGTTTTCCCAGTGACTGCGGCCTGGGCTTTGGAAGTTTTCTTTTTCTCCCTGGGAGAATGGAGGGGAAATACAATGCCTTTTCTTTTCTTGCTGCCTCTGGAACTTCTCTCTCTCCACGACTCCCACCCCTTGCAATCTGACCAGCTCCCACATCTCTTACTGGGTGCCCGGTGCCCACTGTTTGCCCAGATAGCTGAGCAGCTGGATCCGGGTGGGGTCCTCGGGAGCCCCTTCGCTGCGAAGCCCCCTGCTCTCCCCGGAGGGGCCCGTGTGCTGGAGGGAAAATCTCTCGTCCGAAACCAGCAGCCATCTGGACCAGAGAAAGGTCCCATCCAGCGAGTGTAAACAATGAGGGGCCGGTGACAGGGGCCTCCTGCAAGGCAACTTCTTTGGCAGTCTGGGTTTCCAATAACTCCCGCAGCCCCCGCCCCCTTCTGAGGCTAGGGTGGAGGAGGGACCACCAGCAGGATGGACTGAATTTTAAGAGAACAAAGAACAGGCCACAAAGGAAGGGATTGCTGAGCTGCGGATTTCTCCCAGAAATCGGGAGTTGGCTGGGACTGAGCCAGGCCCTGAGAGAACCCCTGGCAGCCCCAGGGGCTCCTGGAGCAATAATGGGGCATCCACCAGGATCTCCTGAGGCTCTATCTCTGCTGGGAAGCCAGAGCCTGCTGAATGCGGGGGTGCCCTGCCGGTTCCTGCTCTCACCAACTACCCTGTGTGAGCTGCCCGTGTGACTGACTGATTAGTGGGGTGGTTTATCTCCTCTGAACTTGGACTTTGCCTCTCCACTCCTTGAAGACAGCTGCTCCTTCCCACAAGGGGGGGAGTTCAGTGAATTTGGGGAGATCCCAAGTAGATTCCCAGGCATCCTGGTAGACCCCTGCAGGGACTAGGAGGGGGCCACTGTGATCCTATGGGTGGTGGTTCTGGGGTGAGTCTCAGTGCCTCCCCTCTGAAATCTCCCTGAAGTCCTAGGGTCCCTGCCACTGAGGGCAGTTTGCTCCTGCTCTGCGGTACAGCCTAGGCCTGTACTATGAACGATTCTTCCATTTCTTGGGGTTTCTGCCTCTCTCTTTTTACATTCCTCTTCTTTTTTCCCCCTCGTTTCTCTCTTACCCTTGGCCACCCACCGTGCTTGTCCCTATCCTCTATACCCTGCCTCCACTGTGCTGGTGCCTCTGGAACCAGACAGTGCCTCACAGGACCGGAGACCAAGGAGCCACAAGCAAAGGAGTGGTCTCATGTATAAAGGTCACGGGAATGAGTGTTGACCTGGGAGAGGAATCTTACAGCATTCTTTTCATTTTAAAAATAATTTTTATTTTATTTATTAATGTTTTTGAGACCAGGTCTTGCTCTGTCGCCCAGGTTGCAGTGCAGCGTCATCGTCAAGGCTCACTGCATCCTTGGGCTCAAGTGATCCTCCCACTTCAGCCTCCCCAGTAGCTGGCACTACTGGCGCCCACCACCACGCCCAGCTATTTTTTGTATTTTTTTGTAGAGGTGGAGTTTCACCATGTTGCCCAGGCTGGTCTTGAACTCCTGAGCTCAAGGGATCTTCCCGGACCTTGGCCTTTTGAAGTGCTGGGCATACAGGTATGAGCCACTGCATCTGGCCAGCCCTTTTTTTTTTTTTTTTTTTTTTTTTCTGAGACAGAGTCTTGCTCTGTCACCCAGGCTGCAGTGCAGTGGCACAATCTCGGCTCACTGCATCCTCCACCTCCCGGGTTCAAGCAATTCTCCTGCCTCAGCCTCCCCAGTAGCTGGGACTATAGGTGCATGCCACCACGCCTGGCTAATTTTTTTGTGTGTGTTTTAGTAAAAATGGGATTTCACCATGTTGCCCAGTCTGGTCGCAGACTCCTGAGCTCAGGCAATCCACCCACCTTGGCCTCCCAAAGTGCTGGGATTACAGGCGTAGGTGTAAGCCACTGCACCCAGCCCTGGCCAACCCTTCTTTACAAGTCCGGAGCTTTTCCAGAAGGGCCTTGGGTTGGCAGTGGCCCAGGGCTTCCAACCCCTTCTACCCCTTTGGAATGACTGATTGATTTCTGTGGCCAGGACTGTCTGTGCGCAGGTGTGGCCGAAAAGTGTTTGATGTTGGCCTTTCCCTTTCACTCTTCCCCATCCCACGCCCCCATGTTTGGATTGGGTTCGAAGTGAAGAAGTCAGAAGCCAGAGTGGCCAGGGTTGCGCTTGGGTGGCAGTAAGTCCAGCCTTCTGTGTTCTCATTCTGGTTCTGGAGACTCAGAGGAGTTTGTCCCTGTTGGAGGAGGGAGGAGTCCATCCCTTGGAGGAATGGGGAGCTGGGTTGATGCCAGAGATAAGGCCTGTGGGCGGAGGGAGAAGGGTTGAGCAATCTTGCCCTGGAAACAGAGCTGACCTGAGCTCTGCGTAGGTCTTCTGACCTATGTACTGGAGGATTTTTCTCGACCGTGAGGAAAATAACCAAATTCTGGAGCTGGGGACACTTTGAGGGGTCATCCGGCAGAGTGTCCTGAAGGCCAGCTCCAGCCAGTGCTTCTGGGGTTCTCCAGGAAGGCCAAACCCATGTCTGCCCTCTCTCGGCAGAGAACTGGATGGTAGTGCTGGAAGGAGCCCGCATGTGGCACTGGACCCAGCCCTTTTTGCTTGCGGTGCATTGGGAAGGAAATTCAGACATTAGGGCCAGGCACAGTGGCTCATGCCTGTAATCTCAGCACTTTGGGAGGCCAACACGGGCAGATCACTTGAGGTCAGGAGTTCGAGATCAGCCTAGCCAATATGGTGAAGCCCTGTCTCTACTAAAAATACAAAAATTAGCCGGGCGTGGTGGTGGGCACCTGTAATCCCAGCTACTGGGGAAGCTGAGACACAAGAATCGCTTGAACCCAGGAGGTAGAGGTTGCAGTGAGCTGAGATTGTGTCCTGCACTCCAACCTGGGTGATAGAGTGAGACTCTGTCAAAAAAAAAAAAAGAGAGAAATTCAGACATTACTTTCCCATATTCCCGCTCACTGTGCCCCTAAAGCTCCAGCTTAAAATACGCCACCTTGAGGAGACTTGGGCTTCCTTCCAACTAACTTAACACTGGAGTCTCCCCCAGGCACTGCCAACTTGCAGCTCTGGGCTCTGTGCCAGGATGGCAATGCTGGCATCCAAAGCCCTCCCTTGCCAGGAACAGGGGAACTGGCCATCTCCAGTCAGCCTCCACTCAAGCTGAGGAAGGGTCTTTCTTTTGGGGTTCAGGTGAGCACAGTTTAGGGTGTGGTCATTAATGAAGGCTTACCATTCTTAACCCACCTGTAAGAAACTGCTCTGTACACCTAGTATTTCCCCTTCACCCCAAAGATGGAGCTGAAGGCATCTGGAAAAACTACAGTGCCAGGCATGAAGGATCCCTGGATGTCTGTGCTCAGCCAGAACTGCTTCAGCCACCATCTTCTGCCTTGGCCATCACAGTAGCAGAGGTTGTCTGGGGCAGCCTCCAACCTCGCAGGATGAGACTCCGGGTTCTCCTTTTGCCCGACCCCTGCAGTTCTGGTAGTCACTGACCTTGGTCTGGAGACCCCAGCTTTGAATCTCTCCAGGTGTGCCACCGAAGCCAGGTTCTGTGTGCCAGCTTCTCTTCCCTGCCTGTCCTTCCTCTCTACCTCGAGTCCTCACTCAGTGCAACCCTTCTTCTTTCCTTACACTGTTGCCTCCAACCCTGAAGCATCAGAAAGGGAACTGTTCCCCTCAAGTCCTGGAATTGGGTTTAAGGCTTTGTCAAATGGTACAAGGAGTAGAGAGCCCAAGAGAGCCCAAACAGAGCCTAGAGGCTTGCAGTACAATTTGTGGATACCTCTAAGGAGAATCTGGTTAGGTTCAAAGGATCAGATTATATTTTATTGGGGGTTGATCATATTGAAGTTCTGTGCATTATTTTTTGTTTTGAGCAGGCTTTTTGCTCTGTTGGCCAGGCCGGAGTGCAGTGGTGTGATCACAGCTCACTACAGCCTCAAATTCCTGGACTCAAGAGATCCTCCCACCTCAGCCTTGAGTAGCTGAGACTACAGATGTGTGCCACCCTGCCTGGCTAATTTAAATTTGTTGTTGTTGTTGTTGTTGTTTAGAGACAGGGTCTCACTGTGCTGCTCAGGCTTGTCTCAAGCTCCCGGGCGCAAGCAATCCTCCCGCTTCTGCCTCTGCCTCCCAATGTGCTGAGATTTCAGGCGTGAGCCGTGGTGCCTGACCTGTGCATTATTTGTTGCTAGTAGCACCCGGGGTCCTGCAAATTCCTGAGTTGTCTTTTACCCTTATCCTAGGAAGGAATGGAGGAGCTTCTCTTTTGCCACCTCCACCTCACCATCTTGTCTGAGAAGAGCCAGGCTCCTCTCTCTGGCATCACTAAAGGTTGAAAAGTGATGGGATGAGGGAACTCAGATCAGGAAAGAAACCAGATCGGAGGGTTTCCTGCCCCCCACTGCTGGCCGAGACTACAGAAGGAGGGCAGAATCTGTACCTGGTCTTCAGCAGCTTGGGGGACCCTTCCCCCCGCATCAGATAATCCTGGGAACCCCCAGGACTTTGAAAAGGGTCAACCCATTGTCTCAGCCCGTTTCACTGAACAGACTTTTGAATTAGGTGCTCTCAGGTGGGTGTTCTCTGTGAAGTTTGGGAAGTGACAGTGGCTGGAGTGTCACTGGGTGTGACAGCATCATCTTTATAGCACACGTGGAATTGTGCTCACCCTAGCACAGCACTTGGGAGGTACGAAATGTTATCAGTTGCTCTGAGAGCTAATGAGGAAACTGAGGCCAGCTTGTGACCTAGGGAGTGGGGCTCTTT